AACGCAGTGGATAGAATTTCGATAAAAGATAGAAAAATATGAAGAAACTATAGAACATCACTTAAACTCCGCCTCATACAACAGCTGGTGGATTTTTAATTTGACGGCGCTCTTCTTGGCGTAAGGCAGCCGCCTGAGATACGGCAGTAAACTAAACAAGAACATCTCGTCCTCCAAGTCCTCGTTGGCCTCCATCTGCCACTTCCTCTTGCGTCCCGAACCCTGCGATCCCGACGCCGAGTAGTGCGAGGATCCGTCCAGCATCCCGTGATCGCCCTCAAAGTCCTGCGCCACAAACGAGGAGTTCCCGTCCGCCGTCGTCTCCTCCTCCTTGTCCTCTTCGTCTCGGTCGTCCTCGGGCTCGTCGGAGGCCAGCGATCGGGACTGGATGAAGGGCGTCAGGAATGACATCTGCCAGCTGTACTTCCAGCTGCGGTGGGACGTTCCCGAGGCTCGCCGGCGCTGCTCCGCACGCTTGTCTTTGATGAACATGTCCCGCAAGCTCTTCCATCTCCTGCGACAGTCCTCTTCTGCACACAGACACAACAAACACCGCTGAAGACATGCATGATATGATGCACACTCAACTCAATATAAAGAGTGACATGACATTTTGCATTTTACTGTTTTTAAGCATATGCATACTTAATGCACCTAACAATAAAGTTAAGAACAATCGATAAACAGTGATTTTAGCATGTGCACACTTAATATTAATAACCTAAGGGCACTTTACAATGGTCAGTATAAATACAAATAATATAATTAACAATGCATTGTACAATAATCAGTAAATAGAGATTTAAGGATGTGTGCGTTTAAATAATAATAAAATAAACAATACATTTTACGATATGCAGGATTTAAGTATATGTATACTTAATCAAATTAAAAACAAATATTGCAATGATCAATCAATAGTGATTTAAGCATATACATATGTTTAATTAATAACATAAATAATACATAAGCAAAAAATAGTGATTTAACCGTACCTTAAATTATTAATATAAAATACACTGTATAAGAAAAAAACAATAATAGTGATTTAAGCGAATGTATATTTAACTAATAATATAATTAACAAATTTGACAATAATCAATAAATAGTGATTTAAGCCATTTTAATTAATAATATAATTGACAATGAATCTTTCAGTTATTAATATGTAGTAATTTAAGCATATCTATATTTAATTATAAAAATATAAATTTTACAATAATCAATAAATAGTGATTTAATCAATGATTATCATTAATATAACTTGTAAAATAAACATCTATTTTGAATAAACATACATACTTTAATTACTATAGTTAATTATATTAGTTAAATATACAAACATTTTACAATTAGAAATGGTGAATTAAGCATATTAATGACATAATCAACAATAAATCTTACAATTATCAATAAGCAGCAATTTAAGCACGAGTATATTTAATTTTAATTTCATAAAAAATGAAATATTGAACAATAATACTAATTTCTTGCATGGAAAAAATATATGCATGTCTAGGGCCAGTTCAGATCATAATTTACAACATGTTACAGTGCATATGTAAAACTTTCCCAGCACATTAAAAACATATTCAGTAATGTATTTTGCAAACGATGTCTAAATTTGCCCTAGGCATGCATGCATGCATGCATTTATGCATACGGCATCAAAAAAATATGCATGCGTGTACATCATACTTTGCAAAAAGAAAAATATGAAGAAACTATAGAACATCACTTAAACTCCGCCTCATACAACAGCTGGTGGATTTTTAATTTGACGGCGCTCTTCTTGGCGTAAGGCAGCCGCCTGAGATACGGCAGTAAACTAAACAAGAACATCTCGTCCTCCAAGTCCTCGTTGGCCTCCATCTGCCACTTCCTCTTGCGTCCCGAACCCTGCGATCCCGACGCCGAGTAGTGCGAGGATCCGTCCAGCATCCCGTGATCGCCCTCAAAGTCCTGCGCCACAAACGAGGAGTTCCCGTCCGCCGTCGTCTCCTCCTCCTTGTCCTCTTCGTCTCGGTCGTCCTCGGGCTCGTCGGAGGCCAGCGATCGGGACTGGATGAAGGGCGTCAGGAATGACATCTGCCAGCTGTACTTCCAGCTGCGGTGGGACGTTCCCGAGGCTCGCCGGCGCTGCTCCGCACGCTTGTCTTTGATGAACATGTCCCGCAAGCTCTTCCATCTCCTGCGACAGTCCTCTTCTGCACACAGACACAACAAACACCGCTGAAGACATGCATGATATGATGCACACTCAACTCAATATAAAGAGTGACATGACATTTTGCATTTTACTGTTTTTAAGCATATGCATACTTAATGCACCTAACAATAAAGTTAAGAACAATCGATAAACAGTGATTTTAGCATGTGCACACTTAATATTAATAACCTAAGGGCACTTTACAATGGTCAGTATAAATACAAATAATATAATTAACAATGCATTGTACAATAATCAGTAAATAGAGATTTAAGGATGTGTGCGTTTAAATAATAATAAAATAAACAATACATTTTACGATATGCAGGATTTAAGTATATGTATAATTAATCAAATTAAAAACAAATATTGCAATGATCAATCAATAGTGATTTAAGCATATACATATGTTTAATTAATAACATAAATAATACATAAGCAAAAAATAGTGATTTAACCGTACCTTAAATTATTAATATAAAATACACTGTATAAGAAAAAAACAATAATAGTGATTTAAGCGAATGTATATTTAACTAATAATATAATTAACAAATTTGACAATAATCAATAAATAGTGATTTAAGCCATTTTAATTAATAATATAATTGACAATGAATCTTTCAGTTATTAATATGTAGTAATTTAAGCATATCTATATTTAATTATAAAAATATAAATTTTACAATAATCAATAAATAGTGATTTAATCAATGATTATCATTAATATAACTTGTAAAATAAACATCTATTTTGAATAAACATACATACTTTAATTACTATAGTTAATTATATTAGTTAAATATACAAACATTTTACAATTAGAAATGGTGAATTAAGCATATTAATGACATAATCAACAATAAATCTTACAATTATCAATAAGCAGCAATTTAAGCACGAGTATATTTAATTTTAATTTCATAAAAAATGAAATATTGAACAATAATACTAATTTCTTGCATGGAAAAAATATATGCATGTCTAGGGCCAGTTCAGATCATAATTTACAACATGTTACAGTGCATATGTAAAACTTTCCCAGCACATTAAAAACATATTCAGTAATGTATTTTGCAAACGATGTCTAAATTTGCCCTAGGCATGCATGCATGCATGCATTTATGCATACGGCATCAAAAAAATATGCATGCGTGTACATCATACTTCAACTTTTTTTTTTATGCATACGGCATCAAAAAAAAAAAAAAAATTACTAAAGATGATAAACTTATTTTTCTAATTATTTTTACGATGCAAAACCAAATCTGACTGATGCATCTCCGGTTAAAAATATCGCTTTGTGCATCAAAATGGAATTCAGCAGCAACAACTCAATAAACTTTCAATGAAATCAAATCCCACTTACTGTGCAGACCACCAAACTCAAAACAACAATTACTAAAGATGATAAACTTATTTTTCTAATTATTTTTACGATGCAAAACCAAATCTGACTGATGCATCTCCGGTTAAAAATATCGCTTTGTGCATCAAAATGGAATTCAGCAGCAACAACTCAATAAACTTTCAATGAAATCAAATCCCACTTACTGTGCAGACCACCAAACTCAAAACAACTCATGCCTGCGTACAGTTAAGTGTCATATCTAGCCGATTAACCCATCCAATGCCTTTTCAACTCAAACACACGTTCTGTTAGGTCTATGGTGAAACGGAAACAGCATTCATTAGTTATAAATTAAATCTTCCTGTTAGCCTACTCTGCAACAAGCTAACAGCACACAGCGAGCAGTTTAGTAAGCAACAAACAACTTGAGAAACCGCAACTCTTAACTTACCTGGGATTTCCACTTGCAGACTCACGGCTCTCCATGCTTTGGCTTTCCTAGCAGCGTCTTTATATGAATTTATTGTAGAATTGTATAACTCGGGATAGTCGGACACCGCTGCTATTAACCTCTCCTCCATTGTTGTTAGCATTGGGCGGCAAGTGTTTCTAGCGCAAGAGACATGAGCGGTTGTTCCGGTAGGGGGCGCTCGGTGGCCCAGAAATCATAATTCATATTGGGTTCTATTCAAATGTTCAGCACAGTTTTTCTTAATGAGGGGATTTTTTTTAAACAACTTATAATCTTTTTAGTTTGTTATTAATATGAATTACTATGGGATTCACAATTAGAAATCTACCATCGCGGATTCGCTATATTTTTATGTGCAAAATTAATCTCTAGTAAGCACAAACGGCTGTGATTGGTTCATTCCGAACAGCGCTGAGAAATGTAACACGTACCACGTGACAATTCCGCTAGCGGTCAAGAGGGTAAACAACACTTAAACAGCGGCACCGAGACACTTCAATATCTATTCAATTTAAAAGTTATTTAAAATAGTAGAAACACGATTTAGAACCATCATACCTGACCAGTCAGAAATAACAGACCCCGCCCGTTTTAGATAAATATTTGATAATTGAGACTTGTCATTTGCACTTATATATTGTTGCTCTTTTGTTAGTTTTGACTGCTTTTATTGTCCCCCTTTGGATAAAATGACTAAATGTAAATGTAATAATGCCAGCCGCTTAAATCTGCGCATGCGCACCCTTCAGTCACACGTTGCACTACCGAAGTGCAAGCCGGGAAATGTAGTTATGAGTAAGCGGCCTAAATTTGAATAAGTGCTGCTCAACTTTAAATCTAAAAGAATAATAATGATAATTTTGGACATGGAAGAACCAAAGTTTTTTTTTATTTGTGTATTAGAAATACCTTCAATACTTAGTGTGATGGCCATAAATTAAACAAGGAAATAAAGAAAAATCAAAATTCACTTTTTTTTTAGATCTTGGATCCTTGATCCTTGGTTCTGCTCCCCTTTATATCGTAGCGTTTCTTCCAGGGTTTGTTGTGTCGGGTCCTGCACATTTGTGGCTCCATACTGTTTGCTTGCTATTTTTGACAGGTTAATTATCTCCTCTTCTTCTATTAACACTTCTCCTTCTGTTTCATTCTGCACAAACAAAACACTCACAGTTATACATTTAACCATTTATAAACAATGTGACAACCTTTCATGAAATTTCACATGAACTATTTGTATTTTCTATGACAGGCCCCTTAGTGTCTTCAAAATAAAAGCTCTGTAGGTTCAGGAAACAACCCTCAACTAAATTCTTTGAGGCTTCATTGTTAAAGGGGTCATACGATGCGATTTCAAGTTTTGCTTTCTCTTTGGAGTGTTACAAGCTGATTGTGCATAGATAAGATCCCTGAAGTTGCAAAGACTAAAGTCTCAAAACCAAAGAGATATTCTTTATCAAAGTTAAGACTCTGCCACGCCCCCCTAAAACGCCTCGTTCTAACACGCCCCCACATATCTACCTCACTATGTGG